ATCGATGAATTATTAACTATCGCTAATATATACTTGAAGAAGTCGTGAATATTGCATTTGGTATAAAAATATTCTGTACTGACGCGTTTTCTTTTTTGAATCAGTCTTTCCATATTTCTCTTCCTCTTGGTATCTCTTTTCTTCGCGGCGCACGTGGGTACGCTTTCCTCACCGTTTCTCACCGAGTCTTCTTTGTTCCACCGTCAGGTCCGCACGAAGTTGCACGCTTCGGAAATTGCGCGCGACTCTCATCTCGCACGCCCGAGCCGCGAATCCTCTCTTTCAATTTGACGACACGCGAGGGTCAAGGATCGGAAACGAGAGGCTCTCTTTTGTGGGCGAATATATCGCCTCGTAGCTCGCTTTTTCGGTCAGGTAGATTAAACTCGCCTCCGCTTTCGTTCGCATTTTTATTTTGATCATTGTAGATCCGAACGGCGGATCGTGACGATTGCATCAACCCTCTCTACGATCATGCATTCTGACAATCTAAGTAGCCTGCCGTTACATATAATTACGTGTTACATAAAACTTTTTTTATTGTACGTATAACAGTAAGAATTTGTTGACGGTGTACACGAGCGTAAAAATTCATTTACAATTATCTTTAAATATTTTTACATGAGAAAGAGAAACTTAAATAATATAGATATGTTTGATGATAAAAAAATGGGAATACGAAGCTTATTCTTTAATATCAATTCACATTTAAAAGATACAGTTATATATTGTATTATACAACAGAATAAAGGCATTTAAGAAATATACAAAGTTATTGATGTTCAAATTAGTGGGATAGAAAATTGCCACATCGCCGAATGGCTGACAGGAATTCGCAGGAGCGACCTGAAACGATGCTGTACCCCATCGGAACACGCCCACTTTTTCGCGATTCCAATTAGGAAGACCCTCTCACAGGGTTCACTGGGGAGTTGATTGGCGTCGACTAGATAGTGGTGGGAATTAATGAAGACAGTTGGAAATGGAGTGTACGGTGCTATTACGATGCTGGCGACCAAATTCATTTTTTGTATTCGTACGGAAATCAATTTGAAAATTGCTGCTCAAATGTATTCGATGTCTCGTCGATGTGATTAAAAGTTATCATTTAATGCTATATGAATATCAGATACAACAAAAAATAATATTCTAGCGTCGTGCTACATAATCAATCAACATTTAACTTGATAATTATTATATAATAAAGAAAAAGGAACTCTAATTGAAATAAACACCGATAATCTACCATTAATCCTAAATATGATAAACATTAAAAAAAAAGCCAGTGATATCTCCCACACTTGCTCATTCTTATCCATGAAAAGATGGCAATCATGTTTCCCTGCTATATTATTTTGATACACCGTTACTTATTGTTGCAAGACTAGGTCGATATAGAGAATCGCCGAATAATACACGTATTCGATAACATATTGTTAGAATCCTGACTATGACGATCGCATAAGAGACGCGTGACCACGAAGTGAGGCTCAATGTCCATTGCGTAGTACTTTCGAGTGAACGCGGGTCACCGGCGAGGTGGCATACATATTCATGTCGAGTGTTTACCTAAGGCCAGAAAAGAACTGTTAAGGACCCAGCCGAGATATCACATTAATACGAGGGTACTCGAGGGCTTCTACGAATACGTAGATATATGCAAATGACATCGTTCCCCGGAGAGGAGAATCTTAAATCACATATCGGGATTACCAATAACACGTCCGGCCGACGTTCTTTGTGGTGATTAGAAAGAGAGATAATAGCGGAGGAAAAAGAGGAATTTTCGAAAAGCAAAAAAGGATGATCTTTATAGCTCGTTGGTATCGCGATAGCCGCGTGAAAAAAAAAAAAAGGAGCAACGTCAGCAACGAGTAGCGAAACGAAAAAAGGCCGGACGAATTTTGGCGATTAAGAGGAAGACGCGACCAGGGGCCTCTCTCGCCAGGTCTCTAACCCGGCGGTAGCAATAATCGGGCAAATAAAAAATCCCTGTGAAGGAACGAACGGTCGGGCGAGGAAAAAAAGTTAAACACGTTTGACTACGTGTTCTGACGGAAACGGCGATAAAGTTGTTCTCGCTCGAAACGCCTCCTCCGCGTACGTTATCCGTGACAACGACGACAACGTCTGTCTGAAAACCTCTCGTTCTTTTAATCGCGCTCTTTCAGGATGCCAGGCAATCCGGACGAAAGGAGAAAAAAAAAATGGTACATTTTTATCACGAGTAATTCAGGCTGTTACGTACGGTCTTTGATAAATTCATGACCTAATAATGGCCAAGTCGCCAACGAAACGTTCTATACGTCCACGCGCACTCATTAGATGCTCGACACGTGCATGCATATGCGCGCATATCCGTGCCGTTGTTGCGCTTACTTAAGGATACCAGATCGAGACCGATGGAGGTATTACGAAAAAAAGGAGAGAGAAAGAGCGGATATTATCGCCAAACGTTAATTTAGCCGAGGTCCGGCCTACCTTCCAATTTTCGAGCCCTTACACGCCCACTTATGAGATTGTCCGTTAACGCTCCGAAACGTCGGAACCGCGTATATTCGACGCCCGCGTTTCCCTCTGTAATAGCGTCGCCGTGCTTGTCCCGCGTGACAAGCGTGACTTGTATACGCGGGCGAGCTCTCTTGAAGAGCTTTATATCAAAATTGAGGATCGCGTCGCGTTTGACAAATTTGCGGTCAACCTACCCTATCATAATCCTGTAACTGAGAACAAAACGAAGTCGTGCTAAAATTATCGGTTTTGACATATCTATGTCTTTATAATCAGGAGAGCGAGCGTTGTAAATTATAAACGAAAGTAATTTTAAAACGAGCGCGCGCTTCTCAAACATATATGACTATTTAAAGATTTTTTTAAAGCTCTTATAAAATAATATGATGACTTGTATTGATTTTACATAAATTTAATATTGAAAATTGGAGAGTTTATAGTTAATTAACTTTATAATAAAAACTTTAAATACATGTATATGGGAAAAAGATAAATGGATACGATTTATGGCTTATATCATCCGTGACCGACTATACTCGGTCCAATCGCGGAAGCGCACGTGAACGTAATATAAAAAATGAACGACAAAAATATTTATACGCTGTACCGTGTATGCACGTAATGGTGCCGATTCGGATAAACTCTAAACACGTGCAAAAAAAAAAATATATATATATATATATATATGTGTGTGTGTACCAACACGAAACAAACGCACATAAGAAAGAACGATAGAGAATAAATACGGTTATACGCGTGTAAAGCTCTCCACATCATGCGGTTTGAACGCGCTCGTAATGTGGGCGCAAAAAGTAGATGCATCAGACAGTGCGTGCATCTATAAACGTGTAAACGCGAACGAGGACGAGACTTGTGTGAGTGAAAAACAAAATAAAAGGTAAAATAAAAGGCGGCACAATGTCCAACGTCCACAACACGGATGTGAAATGTACTACTATCTAACGAAACCAGGTTGTCAGCACAAAAGATACATTTTGTTTGTGTATATGTAAAATAAAATATTATATATTATTAAAGATGCATTGATCATATAGGTAAATATTGATAGATAACGAGTACATTTATGTAAACGTATAATTATCATATAAATAAATATGCAATTAAAAATAAATACGATAGAGAGAATATAAAACACATATTGAATTTTATATACACATATTGAATTTTTTTTAGCTCTAATTTTATTGGATGTTAACGCAGTTTTTGTCGACTCGCGAATTCGAAATAGGTGGATGACGCGAAATAGGGGGACGTTGCTGTTACGTACACTCCGACTTACGGAACGCGTATTAGCGTGTGCGAGAGTGTTCACGGTGAGAGAACCGGTTATATAGGAACCGTCCGCCACCTCTTCTCTCTGCACCTACTCCTCTTCTTCCTATCATCCGCCGACCTTTCGTTCCTTCATCCTTACCGAGTATATCCTCACCGGCAAACTCACCGCCACATAATGCGGCGATGTGCACGCCCGCGCGTTGCGTATGTATGTATGCGCGTGTGTACATAATTGCTAGCTAACGCATACCTACACGCATAAATATATGGGGTGTCCGAACTAAGATCCAGGGGGCTAAGCTAAACAAAACCATGATCGCTTCAAGAAAATATCTCAATTGAGCTTTACGGATAATGAAAATCTATTTTTTTTTTTTTTTTTTTTTTTTTAAGATCGATCTCAAGTATCGATATAAAACGAGATCTTCTCGATATATTAATATTAAAAAAATAACATTCTCTCTCTCTTTAAAAAAGGCAATAATAATTCAAATTTTTTCTTTATTCGTGAAATAATTTCCATATAAGGATATTATAGTAGATTGTTTCTGAAACACTCTGTATAACGTTCGTACAATTTGCACGATGCTTCGACACCATAGGCGCCTGCCTATCTGACGTTGGGTACGAGAGCGAGTTCGCTTCTTTTCTTTTTCTCCGTTTCCTGACCTGGCTACCGACAGGCCGTAGGGACGCTAGCTTGCTCTCCCTATCTCTCTCACTCCCTCCGAGAGTTCATCTCTCGAGGCGTCGGCATCTCGCGAATGTTTTACGGATAGAACTCGGTATGCGCTGGAAACGGCGGTATGCACGGCATCATCATAGGCTGCGGAAAATATAATCTTTTATCGTAGACTTTCGAATGAGGTCTGAAAATATATATTGAGTAAAATGCGTGCAAAAATTTCGATGCGCGCTTTGAGAGTAACACAAAAATATTTATGCGATATTTATTTATTTATATGTATCTATTATATTATCTCCCGATGTTTCATAAAAAAAAAGATATGAAAATATTAATACTTGAGCAATATTTCATCGCGCCATACGCGTACATAGAATAAATAATATTGTAAGATCGCGCTTGTTATTTATTTTTGCTTATAATTAAGGATGGATTTTTGTTTGCAAATATAACGAATATAAATTTTATCTTTGATTGAGTTGTTTATGAGTCTGTTTTTCTGTTACAGATTTCGAATAGACAATACAGATCATATAATCGACGTAAACAAGAACAATGCAGCGTTCGAGTACGATCAAGTCAATATAATATGTCCGGTATACCCGCCGGACTCGTATGTTGATGACGATGCTGAGAAGTACATCATTTATAACGTAAGTTAATTTTTATATTTATTCTAATATTAATAACCGCTAGTATATAAATAAGACATTAATTTGCTACGTGGCAGAAATAAAAAATACTCTCTCCGTATGTGTGAATGCCACTTTTTATAAAATTTTAAATTCAAATGCATTATTACCTCTTACCTTCTTAAATGTTTTTTGCAAAATTAATTACTTTACATCTTTTATCCTTGAAAATTTATTAGATAATGATTATAAAAATATCATATGATATATGTATGACAAGATCAGGCATATTGAACATAAAAAATTGTAAGTCAGATTCTATCAATGTTTAGACAGCTGCTACTTGAAACTGGTTCTTTAACCAGCTTTCATTATATTCCCAAAACGACATCCGCTCTTCAACAAGCGTACTATGCTACTGAAATGTAAATTTATCAATAAATTGAAAGAATTATTAGACGTACAGTCTACAAGCACATTGGGTAACTTTACACACACATGAGCTCTTTCTCTATTTTTATTCTTTGTTCGAGAGTCGTGGTTTTATGTTTGGATGAAAAAAAAAAAAGTTACAAAATTTATTTTTCTATTATTTAATTAATTAATTATTTGTCCCAATCTAAAATATTTTTATCTTTGTTTGCCACAAAAATGCAAATAATTATTCTCGTTTAAATGTTGATTCTGCTTCAAAAGTGATTGATATCAGAACGCGCGAAAATTCATCATTTCTCGCATACTCGATTACGTACATTCTTATAAACTTTCATTCAAGAGAGTCAATTCAGGATATTGCGGCCGATTCTCGACTTTCACAGATATAGCCATGGAACATTCCATCCTCTCAAGCAAAGCAAAATCTCTCAAAGACTATTCGGCGGCGACTTAATCGCTTCAGTCCACTTGATTGTCCCTCCGCTCTGCGCCATCAGCTATCCCATTGTCTCCGTCGTTCTTCCTAC